GTGTATCACCGTTATTAATTGAGATATTCTTTGCCTAAACTCCAGTTGTCATTAATCCTTTTATGTTATATATATAAGTGTCATAACATAAAATGGCGGAAAAACTGACATGGGTTTTTTTCAGAACAGCCCTCAAGAGAGACGAGTATATGTCCTATTGAATATTTTAAAAATCAGTAAAAGATACATTGGCACGCTCTATTCTGGGTGCAATTCAGCTGATAAAGTGACTCGAGCGTCCTGACTATTATCGTCATATTCGTGGTATATCTTATCAATGTATATTAAAAAAACAGGAAGACGGGATTTAACTAAGTCCTTTATTTGCGTAATTTAGCAACATCTGCAATAGTAAATAGGAAAAATATTTATTTGAAACAAATAAAAAGGAAATACACAAAGTTGAATTTATTTTTCGACTGGTTAATAAGAATAATATATAGGAGTATTTAAAATAATAAATTAAAATAAAACTAAACTCGCAATGTAAAAAATAACATATGTAACATAAGTTTTGAGACAAAAATAAAATTAACACTATTTGTTCAAATTTTCAACTTTACTTAAACTATGTAAACGGTTAACGATTAACATCATATATCATAACAATAAGAATATATTATAATGCAATTAGCGGCACATGGTTTTCAATTCGTCATATTTTTGTTTTTAAGTGTCTCATAAGTGATTGAATGGTAGTAACATCGATTTCCCGAATCATTTGGTAAATTCTTCTTCTAAGTTGTTCTTAATTTTCTGCTTCTCATCCATTACCATAAACTTTCCTGCTTAATAAGGTTCAAAATTCTTCGATGGACCGTGCCTGAGAAACATTAGGTGGATTACAAATGGAGTACAAATGGGACAATATTGGCTTCCAACCAATCTAGTTTGCCTGGCATAGTGACAAGCTGCTAGAATATGATCTCATCATTATTGTGATCTACGTTTATAAATCGTAACAAATTAGGTACACATCTTTGTATATAACGATCTGCAGTGATGGCTTCTTCTCTAAAATGTTCTACTTATGGGCGCGACGCCCCTGGCGCACCATACCTGAATTGTATTTTCAATTTTAGCTTTTCTTTTAAATTTATCCGGAACCGCATTAAAATCCTCGGTATAAGAATCCATCATTTCCCAACGATGACTCGGTTGTTTGCAAATTATTGAAGCTTTAGTGCTCGACAATACCGTGGAATTCGTTGCAACTGCACAGCTGTGTATTTTGGGCATTTTCTTCTTTTCTAAATGACATTTCACTTTTCTTAATTTTCTGATATGAAGTCATATGTGAAACTCCATAGCGCCTTCCCAATCTTCGTGTAGATGCGCCAACATTTTATATTACACTTTCTCTCATTCTATCTGCTCTGACATCAGTCAAAAGCCAAAACCTTTCACGTTTTGGTAGATTAGAACAAGATATGCCTCCCCTTCAAGTCCTTGAAATATTTTTATAATATCCGCATTTTACATTTGGCCAACTAAATTATAGATGCTTTTTCGTATCTCGATTTTCTTTACTATCTGACAAAAGTTTGTCGACAACAACTGTCAATATTTATGATAACAAGGCCTACTTGAAAAAATTTGTCTCAAAACCTTAGATAAAAGAGACCGGAGATGTAACATTGCACATCGCGCACGTTGTCTATTCCAACCCTAAGTAACCCACTAATTAAAAATCATTGTGTTCACGACGCCACCCGAATTGCTCCGAAATTTTTATTCTATGATTGTCTCCGCGTGAGTAAATCATTTATGGACCACCGTTTTTTGAATTATTTGTTGGTGTTATTAGCAATTTAATGTGTTTTAGTTATTCAATTTCAAGTTGCAAATGCCACGATGTATGGTGAAAAATTGTATATACAAATAATATAAGTGTCAATGTTATGAAAAATAAGAAATATATTCGTCTTCAGCGGTAAATATTTGTTGACGTTTTGACATAAAGTCGCCATGATTCTTTGAGCTGAATACTTCAGATCCGCATTAAGGGGTTTCAATAAATATTAAGCATCAAATACAATATTTCAGAAAATAGATTTCATAATGCATTAATTTAAAAAAGAGTAAAATTTTAAAATGTTAAACATTTAATCTAAATAAGAAGTAAATAACCATTGTTACTAACGAAATTTTGTTTTTAAAAAGTAGTTTTATAAGAATATTTACTAAAGGTGGTTTTTAGCCCTTATTAGGTATTTTTACAAGAATATTAGATGAAATACCTACTTAAAATTTCAAGGTTCATTTTATTTGCGGTTAAATCGGAAGTGACATTTGAATCTTAAGTAGGTATTAAAACAAAGTAAAACGCGCAATATGATCTAGTATAAGCAAAAAAATACTAAAGTTGCGGAAACTAGCCATATTATTAGTATGTTACATTATATACCCCTAAACAACTCGAAAAAAAATCTTCGTTTACTAAACAAATCTAAATTCTAGCAATATTTATTATACAATCGAATGTGGTTTCAAAGATAACAGGATCAATAAATCCGAATATCTAAATTTTGGAGCTAAATGCTCGGATAAAAGCATGCGACCGATAGGGGTTACAAAAATAATCGATTTATCGTTTTCATGAAAATCGATTTATCCGTTATAATTAATCGATTATTTTTGATTAATCGAACATTTTCAATAAATTGTTTTCGTTATTTAGGTAATGGAATAATCGATTATAAAGAAATTACAAAAAGAAAGTAGATTTATTCAAAATATTCGATTTATTATAATCGATTTTTATTTAGAAAAATCGACTTATTGTTTAATCGACTTTTAAAATTATTCGATTATTTTCGAATTACCGAATATTTTCGATTAATCGATTAATCGATTATTTTCGATTTTTCAAAGGTATTCGAATAATTTGTTTTAAATGAAATGCAAAAAATTGATTATATGAAAATAATCGATTGATCGAATATCATCGGTTATTTTATATAATAGATATTTCGGTTATTTTTTAGAATTATCGATTTATCGGTCAATCAGCTTTTTATTAAGCGATTATTTTCAATGTTTCAAAAATGATCAAATAATTGATTTTAAAGGAAATAATTCTCTTTTTTTTAAATCTATTTATCGATTATTCGACTTTTTAATTAATCGATTATTTTTAATTAATCGATTATTTTTGATTAATCGATTATTTTTGATTAATCGATTATTTTGGATTTTTCAAAGATTATCGAATAATCTGTTTCAATGGAAATACGAATAAAAATAGATTATTTAAAAACAATCGATTATTTAAAATAAACGATAATTCGTTTATTATTTTTTGTAAACACTGATTTATCGGTTAACTGGCTTTTTAATTATTCTATTATTTTTGATTTTTTAAAGATAATCAAGTAGTCGATTTTAAAGGAAATACGAACAAAAATAGATTGTTTGAAAATAATCGATTGATCGAAAATAATCGATTATTATTAATGATCAATAATTTATTTCGATAATCACCAACCTCTAGCGACCAAATGACTGTTAATAGGTTTAAATTTTAAAATGTTATCTGGTTTCAGACATATGCATTTCTAAAGTTTTATGTGACTCATCCTCTATATTAATATTCCTAAAGAAAGAAGCTGAGGTTACAATACAAAACAGCATTTTCTCATTTTGACTAATTTTTAATATTATGTAATAGCCGTAGAAAAAATATAATGTTCAACTCAAAAGGTTTAATTTGCAGTATTCGCCTGCGCACATGCTTTTTTTATAATACTCGTATACAATGTGCATCTGTTTGATATTAAAAAATCAAGTTAATTTTATTTCATAATACAAAATTCAATTAAACATATATTTTAAATAAATCTAATAGTTCATTATGATGCTAATAAACAAAGGCCGGTCCCTGTCACAGAGTTCGGGTCCTTGCCCAGTTCCCCCACTCCGTTAACCTTTCTTTAGAAATTGGCAACATTTGCGCAGGTTAAACCACTGGTGTATGTTATATATCTGGTCTCTTTTATCTAAGCTCAAAACTTATGTTACTTACGTTAGCATAAACTTACCTGCTGAAGGAAAATCAATAAAGCAGTTTTAGTTTTTTATATCTTAAAAGTATCTGGAGGTCAATTTTAGGTGTACTGAAATTGGAAAAATGTAGTAAACAAAAGGGATTTGTAAGAGCAAGAAATATGAACTCACTCTTTACATCTGGCGAACGCAAAACTAGATGCAGTTGCCGATCGAATTGGTAGTCGGCCAATGATATGCGACCAGTGTTGCCAGTTTAGTACAATTGTACTAGATCTAGTACATTATTTAAGAATCTAGTATTCTAGTACACTCGAAGAAAAATCTAGTACTTTTTCTTTTTTAGAACGTTTCCCATTCGACGGGTAAAATAATATATTGTTGGGTTCGTCCTTGTTTGTGTCCGTTCTCGATAAAATATTTTTTTTGCTCATCTGAACCAAATTATCACATTTCGAAAAATATGGTACAATTTATAGTTTCTGATACATTTTTATGAAATCTGGTACATTTTTCAGACAAATCTAGTGCATAACAAAAATATATTCTGGCAACACTTATATAAACGAGACTTATATAATAATTAACAATTTGTGGCTTACATCCTTATTATCCCGAGCCCTTCATATGATGTAGAAATTTTTTTTTTTTTTTCAACAATGATCAGCACTGTAATCTAATCTCGTGGCACAACAGAACCATAAATATGTAGAAGAATCTACAAGTTTTCAGTTTAACATAAAGTTACACAATAAAGTAAAGCACAGCCTATTTAACTGGCTGCTTGAATGTATAAGAAATAAAGAAAAAAAGGATAGGTTTTGACTTGACTTCTGGCCCCTCGATCTCGGGTCGAAGGCATAATAACTAGGAAGTCAAAATGGACAAGGGCGTTTACAGAATAGTTTCTTGAATAACACTCGTATGTGAAGTGCTTTTCATCAACTAATACCATAACTATTATTTCACCATTAAATATAATGTTTATATTTTAGGTAATTACACACAAATCTGTAGAAAGCATTTTGAAGTACGTTCCACTAGAACTCCTTCCTACAGACTACGGCGGAGAAGAAAAATCTATTAAAGAACTTGCAGGTACCGTAGATTTATCAAATAATATACATGGTGTAACAAAAAGGTAGGTCATAAATGGAACCACATATTCTGGGCTCAAAAATAACTTGATTACACCTAACTTACTTTAATGCAAATGTGTGCACAAAAAAAGTTAGTCCTTGGAAAGTACAAAATTAAAATCGATTATTGCCAATATTTCATGAACCGTTTAACATTTTGTGATGAAAATGGATATATGCTTTCTTATCGTAAGAGCGTCTTTTTCATATAAAACCACGAAATCAGTCCATACAAATTTTAGGGGGGTTCTGAACCCCTAGAACCCCCCAAACTTTTCTATACGTTACAATTAAATTAGTATTGATTTAATACATCAGTTTTTAATTTATTTTTATCTCCTAGCACTATTTCAAAAATAATGAGTAACAAAAAGTAAGTTATAACTGAGTATTCCTGGTATCAAAAATGTGTAGAAATATGTAGTTTACTATAATAAATTTTCAAAATGGCCTCCATTTTCCTGAATAAACATTTGGCACCATTTTAAAAAGGAAAATCGAATTTTTTTGAAGATCTATGGTTTCTGACGAAATCGATTTGCACTTTCAATGATTAGATGCCTCAGTTGTTGTTCGTCGATTATTTCATAAAACCCCAGAAGCAAAAGTCATTAGAGTTAAGACTTGGACTTCTGGCTGGCCAAAAAATAGGTGCATCAGGGCCCATTCGAATCCAACGTCCATGGTACAGATCAAAAAGATATTCCCTTCCTTATCGAAATGCGCTGGAGCTCCATCTTGTAAATACCTCATATTTTGCCTTATTTCTAAATTTACCTCTTCCAAGTACTCTTGTAAATCATTTTGTAAGAACTCAAAGTAAATTGCACCATTTAAATTATTTGGAAGAAATACTGGTCCTATTAAATTATTATTCACAATGCCTACCCAAACATTGTCTTTAATAGTCCTTTAGTGATAATTTTTTTTGCGTGAGGATTTTCTTCCGCCCATTTGTGTTTGTTATGGTAATTCGTAATGCCATTTCTATCGAAGGTAGCTTCGTTAGTAAATAAAATATGATTAATGAAATTGATATTTCGATTGTTTGACATTCAACAAACGTATAAACCATTGCAACATAAAGTAATCGAAAGATTCAATGTAATTCTTAAAGCAACTGTTTGTTATTTATCCGTAGAAACTACAAGTGTTTAACAAGCAACTTCAAAATTTTTGAAGGATAATGAAAAAAGAGGCAAACTAATTTAAAAAATGTGATATTAAAGTAATGGTGTCACAATACTTATTTAATTGCAACTAATAGAAAAGTTTGGGGGGTTTTAGGTGTTTAAAGCCCCTTTAAATTTTATTTTATTCTACAGATTTCGTAGTTTATGTAAAAAAGAAGCTCTTACGATAAGAAAGCAATGTATTCATTTTTATATGTAACACAGTTTATGAAATATTGGTAAAAAATCGATTTTCATTTTGTACTTTTCAAAGGCTGTAACTTTTTTTATGTGCACATTTGTATTAAGGTAAGTTATGTTTAATCGAGTTATTTTGGACTCCAGAATATGTGTTTCGATTTATGACCTACCTTTTTGTTACACCCTGTATATTTATCAATATTTACAGTTTTTTGTTATGTGGCAGTTGATACTATTGTCACAGTTTATAGTTAAAGAATCAGTTAGCTCACTCGGACCAATTGGATGTTCCAAAATAACATCCACTCCAGGTTATAGTAAGATAGCCCACTGCTCCAAAGGCATGTAACAACATTGTAATTTACCAAATTGCACCTGTACCAATCCCTATCCTGAGAAAAGTGGTTAAAAAAATTATTTTATATTCAAAAAATTACATAAGACATGACAGCGACAATTGTGTTTTCGCTGAAAATTACAACCCTAATTTATAGTGAGCTTTTAAATCTGAATTATTAATATTTTTACCTACCTTTTAAACCATGTGTATGTGTGAAAAGAAGAAGGATAGCATTGTATAAACCATTTGCAGAGATAGTCAATAATAATTATTATAAACTCTTGTTAGCCCATAAGTTGGCAGTAACAGAAATAATCATTAAACAAATCTTTTTTATTAAAAAACTACTAAATAACGGTTAGAAAATAAGTTTCCAACTTAAAAAAAATTACATAATATTTAAAAAAAAATACATGTATCTTATAGGATACGTTGCCAAGTATGTAAATATTTAATTTCTAGATCTATTTAAGTTACATTCATTATGGAATATTAGGAAGCAGTTCCTTGAATTTACCTAACAAAGTCTGACTTTCCAGTTTTGGCAAAAAATTGCAGTTTGGCCATTTTAACGTAAACGGCATCTTCCTTTTTTGTCATATGTCTCACAAGGTCGAAACGGATATCTCGTTGAGAAAGTTGTTGTTTTGCTACCACGTTTAACCGGCAACGCTAATATTATTCGTTTCCTGCCTGCCATAATGCTAACTATCTGTAGTTTTTACATGGACTTGTGCAAAGCATGTTGGAAAGCTTTTGGTGGCCGACACCGTTTGCTGCCCAGACGCGATAAGTGCATTAAAAAATTTATTAATACTATTATTTTTATTTTATGTGTCAATTTATTGTCTTTGTGCAAAATAATTCACTTTACATTTATAGAAATAAAACAAAATAAGCTTAGGAACTTGACAATGTATTCTATAAGATACACTTACCTTCTGTCCTTTGTGGCCGAGGTTATTTTTCAATAAAAATTATTTAAGTATAAAAGTACGACATTATATTTTCATCTTATATTTTTAATTCTAATAAATACCTTAATAATTTAATAAAATAACAAATACTGCAAGTCTGCTATATCTCAACATTTTCATTAAAACTGAATCACCATGTAAGTTATCACTTTGTAACTCAAATTAAAATTAACTAACAGCAAGCCTATTGACAAATGCATGAAACAACATAGTTCTAAATGTATGCATACTACCCAAAATACATATAAGTATAGCACAAATGTATTTAGAATAGCATATTTTTGATGTATCCTGTAGGATCAGGGTCACCGAGAGCCAGGTCAGGCCCCGGGACAATTCTCCAGGTCGGGCCCCGCGACAATTTTATAAAAAAATGAAGCCTCTTTAATATCACATTTCTAAAAAAAGAAGGTCTTGCAGCAAAACCTCCTCTCCTCCTCCTCCTCCTCCTCCTTCCAAGGTCGAAAACTTTTACCAACTCTGCTTCGTCGGAAAGGGCCCAAAATGGATCCTAAAACTGGTTTCCCGTCAATATGTTCCACAATATGCAAATAAGAGAATTTTTGTTTAGGTAAAAAAGAAAGATCTTATCATTATCTACAATGGTCCCAATCATTTTTGTCGGGAATTTGACAGGTTTCGAGACAACCGCAATCAAAAGTACCCTCGTTCAGCCCCTGCTTTATCTATATAGCAATGCTGATTAGCTTGTAAACGGGTGGACAAATTGTTTCAGAACTCGGTCAAAAATTGATATTTTTTGATGACTCAAAGTTCATTACAATGGGAAAACCCATAGGTATCGATCCATGTGCATGCATGCATTATTATTTGCACTATCGCTCAATGCGCACAACTTGTTCTGGTGAATCATCCGAGTCAAACGGGAATAAAATAAAAGTAAACAAAATGGGCCAGATCTTGGCGATTTTTTTCGAGATCTTGAAGAGACCTTGGCGAGATTTTTCTAGTCAAGATCTCTAAGATCAGATCTCGACTCTCGATCTCGACTTATTATGCAGATCTGGATCTCGAATCTCGTCTCGATCTCAAGACGAGACCAAGACGAGATAGATATTTTTCTCGTTTCGTGAGCACCCTAATCATGGCCGTATAATAAAGCCCTATACGAGGGGTGAACCACTCCCAAAATACGGGTATGTTTTCTTAGATAATTTATAAAAAAATCATAACAAATTTTATACCATGAATTCGCCGAAATCACCAAAATCGTAAGGGGTATTTCGGCAAAATCACCAAATTTTAGTAGATTTCCGAAATTTGGGTACGTTTTTGGCCTTAGTGGTTTACTCCTCGGCCCTATATTATTCGCCTGTTAAATAATAATAATAATAATAATAATAATAATAATAATTATAATAATAATAATAATAATAATAATAATAATAATAATAATAATAATAATAATAATAATAATAATAATAATAATAATAATAATAATAATAATAATAATAATAATAATAATAATAATAATAATAATAATAATAATAATAATACTATTTTTTAGAATTATGGAAAGAGAAGATGGTAGAATATAAGGATCGTTTTGAGTTTTTGGACACAATGAAAGTAAATGAAGATCTTCGTCCAGAAAAACTAAAAAATGATGAACTTTTGGGATATCATGGAAACTTTAAAAAGTTGGATGTTGATTAATACGAGACATAACATCACCCACCATAATATAAACAGCTACTTACTCTATTCGTCTTAGGAATATTATGTATAATAAATAAATTAATAAGTCATATGGTTTTCCACATATTCCAAAATTATGACGTAATAACGAATTATAAAATAGTATATTCTGTAACAAAGTTAGAATAAAAATTTGATACGAGTACTTGATTTTTATTTCAACAGAGTAACAGACTGTACCTTCTCCACGACCACAGACACAGTAAAATATATATATAATAAAGTAAAATAAAATATTTAATCTAACTTATGTTAGGCAAGTCCGTTCAGAAGAAGTATTATAAAATTCCATATCAGAATTATTATTATTATTATTATTATTATTATTATTATTATATTCGCCTATTTTTGAATTTAAGTTTGATTCAACAAACATAAATAATATGTCGCGTAGAACTGTCAATCATGAAATTCGTGGATATCTACTATTCACAGCCAGAAGCTATTACAAAATGAACATTCTGTCATTAAAGTTACAGTAAAATACGTAAAAAATGCATAGAAGACAAGTGTTTTAGAATGTTCTTTCAATCTTAAGAGCTTATTACATTGCTCCCTCGATTAATAGGGGGTGAAATTATACAATAGCTAGCTCAGGTAAATAAATTTCATCTGGAGAGTTGGGACGTGGAAAATAAATTAGGTAAACTCTATTTACTGATGTTTTTACTCAATTGCTCAAATAATGGTTGTTTTGCGTTACAGAAATAGAGTGTGTCTATATACAAAGTGTTCCCAAAATTGCTTACTATCTGGCAGTTTATAAAAACAAGAAATTAACACTATATGTACAATTTGTCTACATGCAAGGGTCCCTATTTACAAGATTTTTACCCCTCAGGCTCAAGTAGTATTCGCTCCGTGCGCGACAGCAGCGCCAATTTGTTTTGGTATTAAAGGAGTATTTCTGCCTATACTGACAAATACAATTTTTAATAGAATTCGTAAATAAAAAGTATATATGTTAGTTTTAATAAAAGTATATGGATTTATAAAACAATTAAAACATTAATTTAATATTATTATATATTTTTCACGCTTAAATTGAAGAAAATTATGTATAATCATTAAAAATCAATAATAAAATATTGGCAGGCAACAGTATTTACTGGAAAATATATGAGAAGTTGCCTAAGTCTAATAAGTTGTCATTGAAGAAACCATTTATAATAGCGTGAAGTTAAAATGTATAAAAAGGATCGCTACTTATATTTTCATTTTTGTTCTAAAGAAAACAGAATGAATGATTAAAACTGGTTTCCGATCAGTAAGTCACAAAATTGCATACCAGCCAAATATTATAATCAACGGCAGAAATCTTGAAATCTAGTCCTTGCTGAATGAACATTTAAGAATAAAGGGATATTAAAGAACATCGTAAAATGATAATTTATTGTTTCTGATGTCTACTATTTCCAGCATTACTGTTATTATCACAAAAATAAAGGTAATTTTTCTTCTTATTGTACACCTATCCATTTATTTCTTTGATTTAATTTCCACTTTGTTAGTGAAATTTGTTATATAAGTTTCACTGTTTTTTTTTGCTAGTATTTGTACAATTTTCAACACAACAACTCCGGTTGCTTATTGTGTTGTTTTTACCTACTTTTTTGAAAAAAAGTAAAATGTATACGTGTATTTGATATGCCAAAATTACAAAATATCCCCCTAAAATGCACGAATTATCCGCAGCTAGCGCTAGTATCGCTTTTGCTTCCCTTTCCATGACTTCGCACGGAGCGAATAACTTGTTTACAACGAGTAGATGAGTAAGTATTCTTTGATTTTAATTCTATGAAATAATTATTATGCAGTTCTTTAAAAAAATATCTTTGTATGTACTAATCTAATCTCTATATATGTATGATTTAATAATTAACCCTTAAATCGTTTCCGTTTTAGGGTGAGTGTGGTCTTTCAAAGATAGCAGGTTAGTTACATGTAGGTAGAAAAATGAAGAGATCTTACTTGTGTTCTCGAAGTCTACTAGATGTATCGATGGTGGCAACAGACAGCATTGTAACATTCGCAAGCCCAAGAGCAGCCAATAAGCGGAAGTAATAAGCTCAGGAGTACCCTGTCTAGAAGACAAAAGCAGTCGAAGGTGATAGTATGATAATGGTAATGCAGAATAATATTGTAACTATAACTAATAGGCCTAGTCTAGCCGATTAAAGCAGTCGAAGATGATGGTAATGCTGATGCAGAATAGTATCGTAACTATAACTAATAGGCCTAAAAGCATAAATAAAGCCAGATAGAGGTGCATGCAATTTAAATTGTATCTGGGTGACTTCCGAGTAATAAGTATTGCATATCCACAATGCGTGAAATACAAATCTTGATTTTACAAGCAATACTTATAAGTAATTTTGATGGAACTCCCTTTTAGGGGTGGTAAAAAATCCGAAAATATTCGTTCAATATAACACAGACTACATGGCCCAAAAACCATCCAAAAAGGAAATGACAGAAAACCCAGAGAGAGAAATAAAACCTCAGACACCAAGAAGAAACATGTACCTAATTAATAAGGCTAAACTGCCAATAAATAGCTTAATTATTGACATAATTAATTAAATTACACTAGAATGAAGAAGAGAAGAATTATTACAAGGTCATGGTCAAGATTTGACATTAGCATGTAAATAAACAATCTACATATGTATAGGTTAGATTTTAATAAATGGATAAAAGTATAAAAGTCTATTAATCTTGTTGAATACTATTTACAAATTTAGGTGAGTTATTTTTTATTTATTTAATGTTTACTAACCCTAATTATTAACAAATTATTTGAGTACGATAAATTTCTGAACCGTAACAACCTAAAATGTTTTTTTTTGTTATTATAGAAGAAATATGTTTAGTAGTGGGCAGAGAATAGGGACATAAAGATTGGAATCGGAACGACCCCCAGCAACGATGGGAATTGCAACGACCCCCAGCAACGATGGCGTCATCTAGCGTCTCAGATGTTAACTACAGGTCTACGTCGTTTGTAGATAGACCAGTGTGGCCAAATATCTTTTTCAAGAGATCGTACAAGTAGAGTAGAAAAATGGTATTTCGACAAAAAAATTGTACAATAGATACATGCATAGCATAATATAACTTAAATGGAATGAAAAATAAAAAAAAAACTTTGGCTTGATGATTTATTTATTTATTTATAAAAATGTTTACAACGAGAAAAAAACTAAAGAAAATACATGAAACTTTAAATTAAAACATTTAAAGTAATCAATGACTGTCACTTGAAAGTGAAATTTTGCATGCAAGCTTTTCTTATGGCGTGATAGTTGGTGTTGGTACAAAATCACCATGGTCAAAATCACGATAAGTCAGAACGAAAATAACTGCCTTCAGAAATTAGAAACGGCCTATGAATCTTTGCAAGTAGTTTTTTATTTTTATTGTTTTATGTTCTGAAGTTGTTGCAGATATTTAAATAAACCTACTAAAAAAGTGAAGATCGTATTTTTACGTACGATCTCACTGATTCAATCGTAAATCGTACAGCGTTAAAAAATCGTATAACTACGATTTAAATCGTACGGTTGGCAACACTGAGACAGACAATGGACGTGGACAGTTTGTAAATATAAATGTCAGTTAGTTTTATGTATATCGAAGAATCCTGAATTACATTGTTTAAGTTTATTTACAAGAACATCAGAGTGCAGTCGATATTTATACAACTTTTATTATCAGGTTTTTTTAATTTCCCGCTGCGTTGTTTGATGTCGATGAAAGCGCCACATAGTGGGTCAGATGTTAACTGCGATAAAGCTGGTCGTTGTTAAGCATTTACTTCTTATGGGCGTTTCCTATCTTTATCTCCCTTATCTCTGGTAGTGGCCATAGATAAATTAATATTAAAAGATAAACCGTTTACATGCACGGCACTGGTAACAAGAGGTTAGTTACGGCCATACTATTTGGCGCCACCATTGCACACTACACAATTGGCTGATTAACTTGACAGTTAGGGGCAGCATAAAAAGATAAAAAGAAGAGTGTCTAACCTCGGCTCATTCAAATGTCCTTTATTTCACATACTTTGATTTTCTTTTACTATACGGATAATGGTCGCACTGCGCAGCTTTCTGAGTGCCTTTTAAAAGGAGATAGAAAACTCTGCCATTTTGAACCCTTATTACGTGTTGCCTACATCTTGGCGCAATATTTTTAATAGGTGCGTTTTAATCATCCGCTTCTGCTTCGGAATTGTCGGTTTTCTTGTTTTAATCTGACAGGTTAGAACGACTGAACCGACAATTCCGGAAGCAGAAGCGGATGGTTAAAATGCACCTGATATTTTGCTTGCTGCTGTCAGTGTCAGTGAATATTATTTTTGGAGTCACAGTTTATTGCTAAAGAATCAGTTAGCTCACTCGGACCAGTTGAAAGTTCCAAAATAACATCCACTCCAGGGATACAAATTCAGGATAAGCAGAAGACTGCTGTTTTATTATAGGCGGTTTTCATATATTGTATTATCTGAGTTTCGCAATGTATAAACTGGAACATTGAGATAAAAAGTGAAGACGCAGAGTGAGCGATCTGATTCTTTAGCTATAAACTGTGTCATAGGGTTCAAAATGGCCGCGCCCTATGTTAGGCGTGTCGGACCTCTCTCTTGTCCCGTATAGTAATCAAAGTATATGCCTTTATTAACATTTTTGAGAATGCATTACTTTAAAAAACTAATATTTACATTAAAATACTATATTTAACATAAATATTAGTTTTTTAAGTAATAAAACTCCAAAAAATATACTTAAACTAAAAATATTTACATTAAAATATTTGAAATACAGGTGTAGTTTAATTATTTAACCCTACTCTGCTCAATTTTTTAAAATTAAATAAAAAAATGTTTTTAGGCTTGTTTCTCTTCAAGGATCTAGGGAAAAATAATTTTAAAAAATTAGGATCAAAATTTTTGTTTATTTTGACAAAAATATAGTCGTATCAAATCTGATACATTAAGCATTAAAGTATTTACATGATTATGAAATGAGACAAAGCAATTGTTGTTTTTATTTAAACATATATGTACTCCGCATTTAGAGCATTTAACATGAGAAAATGAAGAACACGAGGGAAATTTACATCTCTGTCTTGTTTGATCGTA